GTCAACAAAAAACGAAATTTCGTTTGCAGTCGCACGGCGCAAAACATGTTTCGTTTCACAAAATCTCCATTTCATCCAGCGAAATCTTCATTCGATGCTGACCCTTGTTTAACCCCACATTGTTTTATGAATTCACTGAGTGATGTGAAAACTTGTTTGTTTGTATTTCGATTGCTGAAGTGTCACTACGAGTTGACTCAGCCAATCCATATTGATCAGGTTGATTTCATTTGTGAGGCTGATTCCTAAAGTGATTCAGATTGCTATTCGATCCAGTGGTTCTCATCGGGGATGAAACTATCCATTTTGGGTAGTTTGGAGGTGTCAAGGGGCAGTGGAGGGGGTTGGGAAATTACTATTTCATGCAGTTATTATTTTATGATCGAATGCCGTTGTGATGGTGTTTTTTAACTCGGGTTTAAATGCGGTTAGTCGATGGCAACACTCTTCATTCTCCTATTTTCTCAGTATCATTAGCTCATTCGGGCCTAGCAGGGTTTTCATTCGTTTTTACAGGGTTTTCATTCTTTTCCGAGCTATTGCAATCGCTCTCATAACTTTCATCTCCAAAAGTGTTCTCCTCTGCTATTTTCTCATTCATTTCACTCAGCAATTAAAGTCAAATTCTCATTCTATAAAATACACTCTATAATCGATCATTTGACTGTCAAATGTTGTTCAGCAATAATACTCGATTGCTGTTTGGTTGATTTCAACTGTCAACACTCGTCAACGTATCCAGTAAATAGTATATGCTACAGAATAAGAAATTGATTGACACTCGTCAACGTATTCAATAAATAGTATATGCTACAGAATGAGAAACTGATTCGAGCTATCCAGTAAATAGTATATGCTACAGAATAAGAAATTGATTGGAACTGTGAAGTGAAATGAAACGAAGTGAATGAGAAAAACTCATCAAGAGAACGATAGTCACATGCAATAGCTATGAGAGTGAATACAGCACGTCTGAAAAGAATGAGAATCCATCTAAATGAGTTTGAAGCGAACATGTCATAGACAATAGCTTTCCATGCAGTCATAATCGATTACAATCCAGGACAGTGGTTCTCATAGGAGGTGAAATTACCCGTTTTGGGCCATTTGGGGGTGACTGCAGCCGGCCACATCATCAAAAGAGGTAATGGAGCACCCGAACTTAAGAACCACTGCATTAGTCGAAGAATTTTCAGACAGGAGCAATTTTGAATCTGTTTTCATTATTGCTCGATACCCATAAGTCATCTGTCCTCAAGATCATTCCACTCGAAATGATGACAAAAGGTGATCCCAATTGAGCGAAGAGAAGTGTGAATCATACCACGAATACCATCTCTGCATGATCCGTGCCTCCTTGATCTCATTCGAGTTGTTTTGATATTGCGAGCGATAGTGTTCAGTTCAGNAGCGAATTGCCAATTTCCTATTGCTCTTATGTAACGTGCCATCAGCTCGAATGGATCTATTGAATTGCTTTGTTCTACAAAACAAATAAGTCACCGACCATCGCTCTATCTCTTATGAACGTCTTGAACCATTATTTAGAATATTGAATTAACTGTTAACGATAAATCAACTGTTCACAAGTTATCATGATGTCTGCAAATAACCATCAATAATTGATAGTAAGAAAAAAACAGACTCATCACACAACTGCTACTGTGTTTGTATGTATTCCAAACAATTCGTTCTTACAGTGAAACACAGCATGCATTATTTGATTACATGATGACCCCGTTTAAAGGATTGCATGTATCAATAGATGACATAATTCATTGTCATAATCATTCGCACGAATGGTTTCACCTATCTCGACTGGAATTTCCATTAAATTCCACCCATTCTATGCACTTCCTGAAGACGTTCTCCTTTTGCGTCATTAGTCGCCGTGCACTGAACACCATCATTTTATTTAGTTCTTAGTTAGATCGTCAGACAATTCGAATGTCGTCTTTCATTTTTGCGAATTCGAGAAATTCCGACTAAACGTTCTCATTGAATTTCACTTTCGGTTTCCTTATTGAAGAATTCAATGCGTGTGTCTATTTTGTGTACTATCCATTGGGCACATTTCCCTGTGACCAAGTTGAAATTGATTAGTTTGTTATGGAAATGTCAATGCAATTAATTTCATGCGTTTATCTGATAAATTTTTCTAATGGTCAGATTGATTTGTGAACAAATCGATTTTAATTTATTGACTGCGTGTTGCAGTTCGTGTTGAATTCAGAATTCCACTGAATCGCCCATTGTTTTGTTTATTGTCGACATCATCAAATTTCCTCGCATTGGGATGTTTCTGTGCGTTTTTTTTTTTGGTAGCGATTCGAATTTGGAAGAACCCCTCAAAAATCAATTGATAGTGAATATCAATATATCAGTGCGATTTAATTGCTGGTAATAAAAGCGTTGGATGTCCTAAAAACAAAAAAGATATTCTATCGACGATACTCACTGGTCAGAGCTGTTTCAGTCAAGCACGCACGTCAAGCCTAGTTGGAGCTGCTGGAGAAACGAAGATATTTTTCCAGCATTCAGACGAACTTAGGTCGAAATCGTGATGGTACGGGATGTAACAAAATTGGGTCTCTTCATCTTGTCGCTTTCAATTGTCATTATCGAAGCGGTAAGATGAGAATTCTCTCATTCAATTCAGCTTATTGCAATCATGAGATCCCTGAGTAAAGAGGAGTATTATTTATTCGAAGTGAAATTTGAATCGGAAATTTCATTCGCATATCAATGCGATAGAAAACAAATAGCTGAGAATCAACAAAGAAAATTTTCAAATACTCAATGTGATTGAAAGAACTTGAAATGAAAAAATTCCATGAAGTCAACGGTAAATTCGTTATCATGGATGAACTCACTTCTTCTTGCGATATATTGGTGAGGAAGCATGTCACGATTCGATCTCAGAATGACGTTGATCTAAATCTCTAAACATCATACCATGGATTTGATCATTACAAGGATTCCGATTTAATTCAGGTCTGACCCAGTGCTTTTCAAATTTCAGAAACGACCGTTGATTAGTGAGTTGACTTCAGAGGAAATATTCACGATACTGCATCGAAATGATCCACATTATGAACTGAAAACACCGCCGCCTCGACCGCATTCACACCTTCCCGACATCGAGGTAGATCCTTAACTTATTCAAGTGAATGCATTCATCTGACAGTATGTCTTGAGAGCTTGCAGCAACTGCTTTAAGACTGTCAGAACTTCAGCGAGCTGTTACAACGCCTAAGGAGAGAATTTGTAAATTACGAATTTCTCTGGCATTCAGTTGATTTTTGAGTTTCTTCTTTCACTCAGGATTTTAGCATTATGCACTATCCGTGAACTTTCTTGATCATCTGTTAGTAATTGGTCAAACGAATTTCTGCAGTCAGCTGAATAAATTCATTAATTCATAATTCATATTATAGCCGCATGAACACACTCAGAGACGTAAAATAGGGATTGTGGAGCATCAGCTTCCACTTGCATCCAATCGTCAACGAATCGAAAACTATGATCGCCCGCAAACAACCGATCGATTCGAGGCGCAAACGCTGAAGACACGAAAACCTTTGAAACGGGTATTCATTAGTAGCTCATCGCATCGGCTCTCAAGGATACCTTCGAGCAGAACGTATTCTGCCTTACACGGAGATAATTTCCGGGAAGAGGTAGTCGGCACTGGTGCAGAAAATTTCGGCACAGAGCCGACAATAACAGAAAGGATAACAATGCCCGCAACGACACCAATGGCGCCGGTAAAGTCAATGACAAGAAGTTCTCAGCACGTGAGTTGTTTGCTCCTCAATAACGAAACAAACTAGATGAACATTTGAGGAATTTGAGTCTCATCCACAAATATCAGAACTCAGTACCATCTAAAGATATGGTCTTAGATGTTGTTTTTTTTTCAGCGAAATTGAATAAGTTCTTGAGAATTTTTATATCTTTCACAATATCCAATGGTTTTATTGCACAAAGACTAACTGAGAATCGAAAAGCATATCCAATACTTAAATGGTGATCATCTAAAAAAGAAAACTCTGAGAGATCAAATAACTGATCGATTGACTAAAATAGTGAAATGATCACAGGTGCTTACTGAAGCCGATATTGACTTAGTGGCTGTGTGCGAACAAGTGAAACGGATCTCGCAAACCTATCGGATTCGGGATATGCCCAAATTTGCTCGAAACAATTGCGTATTGATTCGAATGTATTATCCGAAAGCAGCGTGCGAGGATATCTGGATCATTGTTGACTATTGTTTTCCTCAGGAAGCTGCACAATTTGCTCATTAGAGTTTTGTAAATATTGCTATAATATAATGTCAAACATTCATGTTCGCCTCTAATAACATTAATTCATTGTATGTAAATAAAGTCAATCAATTCAATCGTTCACGTTCTGAAAAATCGCACACTGATGACTCGATCATGCCGCTTGAGAAATTCTACTGCAACGAAACTCTATTCGTAGAGTAATTTAACTTTTTATGTTCATAACTTGAACGTAATCATCCAAAATGCTCTTGACGTTTTTGCGAACGGTTAAGGTCACCACTGGAATGTTCACTTTACACAGAGTTTTCCCAATGAAATTCCGTCACCCATCAACAAGATGTCAACATTATCAAAACAAAAATTTGATTTACTAGAGTCTGTTCTCATCAGAAACAATACATTAGATATAAAATTTACGATAGAACTGGTAAATTGTGCACATCTTATAAAACTGTTCCATTGCTATACCACTTTACAGACAGCAACGACATGTTTTGAATATTCTTCCCTGCAAAAGTCACTCCAAATCAAGTCAAAAATGCCATGCTTTTGAGTGTTTCAACCAGCTCAGTGGTAGTATCAGTTTATGAAGGTGATCACTATATACATGCATCCAAACAAATACGAAAAAAAAACAATGCATAACTGAGTACAAATTACAATCATCATAAAACTACAATGAGAAATTCTGAAAGAAAAATCAATCCATCACTGAGCGAGCTTTGATGCATCTTCATACGGAACTGTTATGAGTCGTCCTTTTGCGAATCCTTCATCCAATCGAAGTGAAATTGTGAAATCTTTCTCGTTTACTGACTCCAGGATCGCTTTCGTGTCTCGATATGCTCCATTCACCACCAACATCGCTCGACCCAACGCTGGTATCACCGTTTCGACATGTTGTTGATCCACTTTCAAAAGAGCACCTTAAAAATTTCACTTCATTTCATTAAAAAAACTAGAAAATTACGCTTAAATTATAAAATGTTAACATGCAAAACGCAATAAAACCTCAAAAAACTCTTCAGCGAACGTTTCTGAGGAAATCTGACACGAGTGTGTAAAGAAATTAAGTTTCTAAATTTATCATATAGGTCGTTGTTCTAGACAAAAATTTGAAACCAATCATACCATCAACATCGATATGCGCTGTGTATTCGTCCACCAAGGATTTCACCACTCCTTTTGCCTTATAGAATTCATCACCTAATTTCTTCGTGATCACCTGAAAGCGTTGTTAGCATTAGTACCAACGAAACTATTACAATTCAAGTAAATATTCCTTCCACCAGAACAACCTCTCGAAAGAACAACAGATTACTCATATCCGAAGCCAAATAAAAGAGAACGTTCCTTTGATTCTAAAAAATCGAGACGGAACCATCCTCTGTCAAAGCTAACAAATCCGAAAATTCATTGAATTTTTTCAATCCAATACAAAAAACAATTTTGAGAGATTCGATTCACCTTGACAATTATTCCTTCATGTAACCAGTAGTCCTTTCGATTCTTTCGCTCTTTCTTCCATTCCTCCATTGCGCGGATTTCGTCCAGAGCCGATCTTGGCTTTTTGGAGTCTGGCTCTCTCGATCTCACTCGATCATCATTGAATCTGTGATTTCGCTTCTCAGCTGAAAATCATCACCTTTACAAATCAACAATAAATGTTTACTATTCGATATGTCAACAAATC